TCCCTTCAACCCAAACCAGGCTGTGATGCTGAGTCTTGCTGGGAGCTCTGAGGGCGGTTGGGCTCCCGGGGGCTGGGGGAGTGATTTACTCCTCGGGTGCTGCGGGAAGGGAAAGCCGTCACCGGGGCAATTTGTGGAACAATTTCAACTTGAGGAAATTTCCCTCTGGCTGCCAGGGGGGAAGGCAATTTCTGTTCCAAACGGCTGAGCCCAAACGACGCCAGGGAGATGGGGGAGCCCTGCAGAGACCAGGCTGATGCCCAGGGCAGTGGCGTTTGCTCATTCACCCCCAGGGACCCTGGTGGGATCCTTGCCCGATTTCAGACCTCAGAAAATTCTCAGCGTTTGATCATGCCTGACCATGGGTTTACATGGGAAGAGGTCCTGCAGCATCTTGCCCTGCTTAACCTGGAGAGCAGCGTCAGCAACACCAGTACCCGATTTCTTAACGCAGGTACCGATCCCAGGATTTCTATCAGGGGAAAAGCTGCTGAGAACGGAGCGAAGCCCTCGATGGCTTTGACCCTGCTCAGCACAGGGCTGACACTGAATGCCCGATGTCCCAATGGGGACCCCCTGCCCGTACCTTGTCGGCGCTGTTGCGCGAGGTGTCCGGCTTCACCAGGATGGACGGCGGGGCGGACGCGGGCGGCTTAGGAGCAGCCTCACTCTTTGCAGGAGGGTCCTTGGCGTCCAGGATCACGGAGCTGCAGACGGAAGGGGTTCTGCTGTCCCCCCTGACCACCAGCGCCGGGGAAGCCTCGTGGGAGACGCCTGCTCCGGGGATGCTGATGTGCTGGTACAGCTGAAACTGCGGAGGGCGCAGCGTGGCCACGGACGGGCGCCTGAGGGAGCCGGCCACGTGCACGGGGGTCCCCGCCTGCCCCGGGCGCTGCAGGGACCCATCTGTGGAACAGGAACCGTTGGGAAAGGTGAGTCAGCAGGAGCCCAAAACGGTGCAGACGCGAGCGGGGGTTACAGCCCGGTTCCCAGGGGGGCTCTGGGGTCACAGCTCCCAGGGATCCCCACACACCAGTAACGCCGTCTGCCTCCATCGCCTCTCTCCTCTCTCACCTGCAGCCTATTCGTGGTTTTATGCATCTTGGATATCTCCAAGCTGAGTATTTTCCCTCCTGAATCAGAAGGTTTTGACCATGCTCCTGCAGCCTTCTCCTGATTTTGCTATATTGAGGTACCAGCAATGTGTGAGGTGTTGAGGACAGGAGATGGCCAGAACTCCCCCAACGGCTCAGATGAGTTTTGCTCTCTTGTTCCCAGTTCCTTTCTTAATAATTCCTAACAATTCTCTGAATTAACCTCTATTTAAATTGCTTCTGAGCGTGGGGTTGGAGCTCTCGCAGAGCCCCCCGTGTCAAACGCTAATTTAGGGCCCAAGGTTCTGTGTGTGTAATTGGGGATCACTTCTCCCCGTATCTGTGTATTGATGTTTCGGTGCCCTGTTGCTGGGTGCTGTGGATGCCAAGGGCTGGATTTGCCCATTTACATTTTCCAAGGTCGCTGCAGGAGTCCCTTTTAGAGACTGATAACGCTGACTTGGTTCAGTTCACATTTATGTGCTGGAGCTGCTATTGAAGTGTCTTTGCTGCACAAGGGCACTTTCACATCTAATGGCCTCCCTCACTCTATTTTTTAAGTGTTTTTTGGTTAACCAAGGCATTTTGAGCCATGTTCCCGTCCCTACGCGTACCCCAGGGCATGGCCGATCTGCTGGTGTCGACCCAGCCACGGCAGGGACCACTGGACCACTGCTCCTGCAACGTTTCCTTTTCTCGCGGCTCCAGTGCTAATCGCAGACCCAGCACGGTTTGGTCTGGGGGGGATGCGTCGCCTGCTCCCCCCGTTTCTCCCCAGCACTTACTCTTCCTGGCGCTGCCGCGTCCGCGCCGCAGCGAGCTCTGTCCCGCGGTGGCCGTGCTGCGGCCGGGCGAGGGGACGGGCACGGGCAGCAGCGCCGGCTTCAGGGGCCGGCTTTGTCTGGGGCCGTTCTCGGAGATGCTCCCCCCGGAGGGGAGCGAGGCGGCGGGCAGAGG